CTTGGTTTGCTTAATACGTCAAGCTTAGCAATGTCAAGTGGCTTGACATTGAATAGAAATGTACTGTTATTTTGGTGTGCATTTTCCATTACTAACCTCAGTCACCAGAATGAGGGCCTACTAAGGCAGGCCTATCAGATGCTATGTAGGGAAACACTCCTGGCATTGAATTGGGCTTTGTAATCTGAAATTGCCAGCAAGCCTCTCACAAACAAATAGGTTTGGGCAGCAACAAAAGCCATAGGCCCTTTAGAAGTAAGAATGTCTATGAAACTGAGTTGGTTTTAAACTTCAGATTCAACTAAGATCCAATTTTAAGGATTTTAAGTTTATAATGAAAGCCTAATGGTATTTTATAAATACCTTTCCCTTAAGCAAAAAGTTTGGAACTCTCCAAAACACCTGTTTATGCAAATTATCATCTTTACCTTGCTTTCCTTTGTCTGTAGTATCAGATCTTCAAATTGGTGGCTGAACAGAGAGGGAGATGTCAAACATACCCTGCTTGCATCACAAATGATGGAATGGAAAACAAAATTTTCTGTCAATCTTGGATCTCGAACTAGCGCCTCTGTGGAGATAAATCTGATGTTAAAGACAAGACGTCTCAAAGAATTTGTTTCTTTGTAATAATAAGCAATAATAAGAACGAAATTATGTCAGATAACTTCTAAAGATACACCTGCCACCTTGTAAAAGATTCACAGAAGAACTGGAAATGTGAGAAGAGCCCAAAGATGGATTAAGTATGCCAGGAGAGAAAAGAATATTATTGTACAGTTATAGCAGAATTGAGGCAAATCAGACCATCTAAACAAGGAGAATCTTGTTCAAGATCAAATTGTGCGGTCAGTACATATTTTAAGCACATCTGATCAATTTTAGCTGGGTGGTGTGTGACTGATTGATCCTGCATAGTGGGAGAAAATTAACACCATATTTCATTCCCTCTGTAATACAGCTGCTATCTTATTACTGTTTTCTTAGAAAGAAAGAAAAAGAGTCCTGCAAAAGTAGTTGCTATTACTGTTCTTGGTTTGCTTCTGTAATCTTATCTACAGTTCTACTGAACCTAGACAGCTCATTTCAACTTTACTTTTTATATATATGTATAACAATTATTACAGAGCTTTTGTAAAACTTTATTAAGAAATCAAATATTAACAAATCAGAGATTTAAATTAGTTAAACTGAGTATACGTCTCAAGTGTATTTTCCCCCACAGAGAACTCCAGTTAGCAATCACTTAGGGTATGATTGAGTATATCTAACTTGAACAATGAAAAAATGAAAGCTAAACAATTACACCAAGAGGAGTTGAAAAGAACTGTTAAATGTGGATGCTAGATGTGTTGCCTGAGCTACAGCTGACTGAGCTCTAATCAGATCCATGGGCTTTTCTACCTTAGTCATTAAAACCTCTTAGTCAGGTCACTGTTGAAAGTGGCTTCTCCTCAGAAATACTGATATATCAATTAAAAAGTTAAATCAAATTTAACATCCAGTCTATCTAGTCCATGCACAATAGCTTCTGCATGGGCAGTCTGGAGCTTACAAACATCATACACATGCAGGTTCTTGCCTGTTACCTCTGGAAATACCTTGCATTCCACTCATCTACAACATTAGCCTAGTCTCAGTTCTCAGTGCTAGATGACTGGTGCAGTTGGGCTAGTCAATGGCACTTAGTAATTTCAGTAAATACTGGAGAATGGGGAGAGACATTAGGTAGACAGATACACTGGTTTTGTTTCTTTATGTCATGATTTGTCTTAATGCTCCTTTCTTTTCTAAAAATGATTATACCATGGTCATTCTTTCTTGTGATGCCCACTGTGCCCACATTCTTAGTCAGATCTTTTCTAGTAGTTGTAATTAAATAGTACATTCGCCTCCAGCTCTTTTCTCCATCTTCTTCAGAGTGCTTCAAGGCATTTCCAGAATTTTCTGGGTAGTCTGTGCCCTTCTGTACTGCTTTATCATCAAAATGATAATTGAAATTTCCCATTAGTATGAAGTTCTCATGCTTTTGATAAGTCCTTTAGTCACCCAGAGAAAGACTAATCTCTATTATCTTCTTAATTTACAGCCTACAATAGTCCCCTTCATGACATCAATATTGCTTTTACTGAGAAATCTTTAGTCACTCTAGCATCTGATAGCCCTTCTGGACTAAGAATAAACATGCACATCCTTGAAATAACCTTTTGGTCTTAGCTATCTTTCCTGAACAGACCATACTTGTCTGTATGAACTATCCAACCAAACCCCTCTCATGCCAATTAAGACATTATTTCGAGTATGATTTGAAACATCTAGCCATTCCTGTTTCCTATCTTCTTGCACCTGTGTAAAAAAATAGTTACAGTGTGTATATATATATGATAGTATATAATGTTCAGTATATAATCAACAAAATTAGCATATAATGAATATATATTTGCATATAATGAACTAAAATGCTTCTGCTTACCTGTCTCAATACCACATCAAGAAAATAAAGCTCCCCAAGGCTGGAGGCAGCACAACTTCCCTGTGTTCTGGCCCCATTGTTGGGTTGCCCTTGTGAGCAAAAGGCTTCTTCGTATCTCCTGCCTGAGCCTTTGGTGTCCCACCTATCAATCACCTTTATTTCTCATCCTCTTCCTATGTAATGCTGTGAAAAGCCTGCCTCCTTGATGATCTCTTCATAGATAGCAGGGGGCTGTGTCATGGGGCATTGATCCTTCAGTTACCTATTCAGGTCAACTAATTTAGTTTAGCTGTGTTCTAAGTTTATGGTTAAATATAGGCTCAAAGGAAAAATTCTAGAGATTTTTAGATGCTTCAAGTCTGAAAGAAAGACTTGTTAAGCCAAGTTGGGAACACTGGTGAATGTTCACTTATGTATACTTCCATGCAAAAGGATTATGCTATGAGCAGGACAGGTGCTTTTTTCAAGCCCAAGTCACTGTGATAAGCAAGCTTTGAATTTAGAATAGGTACACGGCTGTGACCATAGCTGGAGTCAATATTTTACCATACTCTCTCCTGACTGATAATGACTTTTAGCTTCAAATATGGCCTGTCTATGTGGCCTGGACCCTGTGCAAGCTCAAACCCAGCTCACCGACAAATCTTGAGATGGTTGCTGTCGCCCGAGTAAAGTTTTGGCCAAGCATGGAACCACAATAAGAGAAAAAGCTTGTGTGTGCTTGAACACAGACTGACAAAGCTGTATCTGCTAAGGGTCTGCCAAAAGGAGAGTCTGAGGGGGACAGCAAGAAAGTGGAACCTGTGCTTCCTCCTATAAATTTTTGAAAGATTCCCAGGAATTGTAGGGTAGTCTAAAAAAATCCTTGAAAAGTAGACATGTAGACATTAAACAATGAGGTTTCAATGAATAAAAAGTCCTTTCCAGGATGAGTGTACCTCTTTGAAGGTATTTCTCTGTTCCACACCTCCAGGAGGCAACACAGACAAAGAACTGAGGGATACAGAGGAAGTTGTATCTATACACTCTTCAGTGCTGGGCTGAAAGTTTTAAAATGCAAAGCTGTGAATGCTTCTCTTTAAACCTTGGTTTATATTTTGCAGGCTCATCAACCTTATGCAAAAGAGATACACACACATGGTTCTCCCTCTCTCGTGCAGCATTCAGCGAGTGTGGAAGAGACCCAGGAGACCTAGTGCTGGGACATGTAAGATAAATTTGGTAATGTAGGAAGTCTGACAAGGTATGGAAAGTACCAGACTTCTCTGAAACAGAAGTGGAGCAGCACTGCTACAAACCCCAAGAGGTTGGGAAAAGTGGTTGTTCAGGTAACTTGGCACACATTGTTCCTGGTATCAGGCCTAGAAGGATCTGAAGCATGTATCTTCCCACCCCCCCCAGACCAGCAATGTGTCCTTGCTGTCATCAACTCATAAAACACACCAGCCTCTTACTTACATTACTGAAAGGCTCCAAGACCAAGACATTTGAGCAGGACAGGAATGTTTTGCAGCTGTTTAGCTGGAAGATGAGAGCATAGTGTTCAAGGTGAGGTTGGATGGGGCTTTGAGCAACCTGGCCCAGTGGAAGGTGTCCCTGCACATTGCAAGGGGGTTGGAACTGGATGAGCTTTAAGGTCCCTTCCAACCCAAACCATTCTGTGATTCTATGATAGTGAACACTCACTCTGCCCTGTTTTTTTAATTTAAAAAGAAAAGGATTGTTAGATGCCTGGTTATTCGAAAACAGTAGTGTCTTCGGAAAAGGAATAAAGTGATGCAACAATTTCACTAAGCAGTATTTCAATCAAAGAAGAGTATGGCTTAATTCTTCAGGTTGCCTTTTCCAAAGGTAACAACTGTGCTATTAGCAACTTAGAAATACATCTAAAGCAGAGCAGACCAGCACACCATAAGACACAGGAAGATGTCTGAGTGTCTGTAGAAAAAATTACTTTAAGCACACCCAATGCTCTTGCTCTGCAGCGGTAGGGAAAAAAACAGGAAGTAAGATATACAGGAATAATTGTGTTAATAATTCACCTGCTAAGCCCATTTGTGAGTGGAAGAAGAAATTCTTTGGCTGCAAGTGTTGTATTGTGGTAAAGTTTCTAGAAAGACAATATTGCATAAAATGATTCTGCAATTACAAGGGAATTAGAAAAGTATGTTCAAAAGTAATCAGTAAACTCAGTAAGAATTGAGTGGAATCTCAACTGGTGAAATATTCTTTCTGTACAGCTTTGCACAGTGCATTTCAATAACTTATCTGGATGTTCCTTCAGTTGACAGAGAAGGAAAACTTTTGTAACACTTAGTGTAATTGCCCTTTTATGAAATATTGAAGTTCTTCCTAAAAGGCTACAAATATATAATTCACTTGTAGTAAGTTAAAGGCTCAACCTTAAAATGAAAAGGCTTAGTAAAAAACAGACTGAAAGTTACTGCAGCAAACCAAAGTCACTACAATTACACTTAAATTTTTTTTATTACTTTTAAAGACAATCAGCAGTATTGACAGGCACACAGACACAAACACAAATAAAATACAGCAAGAGCTTTCTTCCTCCGTATATTATTCAATAAAGTAGCACTGCAACAAACATTGATTTCATGCGTAAACGCGGAGAGGATTTTAAACTCTGCATATGGCACTTATTTCAGCTTTTGTACAGCCCCATTTGCAACAAATTCCTGCCAACCCCAGAGAGTCACGTTTTCTTCTGGGATACTTGGCCCAAAGGTAATTGTTTGACCCCATGGGGTTTGCAATTCCTGTTCCCCCCCTCTCCTTCTTAACAGCCTCCTCTACCTTTCGAACAAGTTCTTTAAAGTCATCTGCCCCAGGTACATACTCATTATTGTCATTCAAATTATACAAGTCATTAATCATCTCCCATCCAAAAGATTGGCCGCTTCTCCGTGGCTGCTCCACTTCAGGACCCGAAACTGACTGCAGCTTCAAGTTTCCCAGTAGTTTGTTACTTGCTGTTCTCACAGAATCTGTTTAAAGACAAGATTTTTTTTTTCAGTTCAGACTGTAGGAGTACCAAAAGGAGCATGTAGACCTAAAACAGCAATAAAACCCCTTCCATTAATAACAAGCGAAGTACTGTTATCTAGGACACTTGTCAGGATTGCAGAGTCTCCACTCCATGATTTACTTACAGCTTACTTTTATGGGAATCTTACATTTTAAAGACTATGCTGCCTGGTAGACACAGAGAGTGCACAGCTAGAGCCATGCATGAGGTACAATTATCTTTTCAACTTCAGTGTTACTGACTAGAAGTCTCAATACTTCTATAGAAACTAATTTTTTTGGTAAAGACCTGTGCCCAGAAACCACACAGTACTATGTCATGTGGCCCATAAATTAGATTAGACCACTCCTGTACCATGTACAACTGCACAAACTAGCATCATATGAAGAACAGATGTAGGGAGGACTAAATATTGGATGAAGTATGTAAACTGCTTCTTATAGATTGTGTTTTTCCATAGCTATTTTCAGCCTATGCTTTCCACTCATTCATTTATCAAGGGCAGAGGCTTGCAGAATTTACTCAGAAACACACTTTGTCTCACTGACTGAAGTGTTCTCAAAAATCCAGCTCTACTTCCTTTCACTTCATACTGTTTCTCTTGGCCTTACTTCTGCAATGCAAGCGGCATTGCTTACTTCAGCCAATACGAAGAAAAGCAGCTCTTTCATTTAAGTGAAAATGAAAATCCAGAGTGTTTGTCTTGTGGTCTTAACGCTGTTAGTATGTTTTTTTTTTTTGTTTCAGAAAGCTAAAAGAATATGAGAACACCCAGAGAATGTTATATTTACATTAATGCTACTAATTAATATGTGGAAGCTAACTTTCAGATAGAACAGCTGCCTGAATATGTACAAAAAAAGTGGCTGTAGCTTCTTTACCAGTTAGATGGTAACTGCTATTTAGTAATCTTTTGGGGCAGGGATGACTTAGACAGCATCCAGCACAGTGCAGGCTCCTTACTGACTGCTGCTCTCAGAAGCTACTGTTAATAAGAACAAAGTTCGCTGGGAAAGAACACAACCCCAGTAGAGGCTGCATATATGTAACTTGTTGTAATTACAAAGGTAAATTTTATCTTTTACTCCACTGGAAAAAGAAAAAAACAAACACAAAACCAAACAAACAAAAACCCAAAACCCAAGTAAAACATTCCCAAGACACCCAAAATGCTGGCTGCATTAACTGTCTGAGGTCCAGTGTTATTTCATTAACACTATACTCAAGTAAGAAAAAAGCTCTTCTGTGGCACAGTTTAGCCACAGTTCCAATTTTCTTAAAAATGTTATAGTCACTATTCAAAATATCAGTATCAATGAGGTTTAAAATTACCCTGTTACACTGCTGTAATTTCAGAACACTGCCCAAACCCCATCTGCTTACATTTTCTTAATATATTTGACTTGGACCGTGAGACTGTAAAGTTACCTGAGGCACATTTTACCCATTATCTGTTCCACCACAGATCCCTGAAGCAGTTCTTGCCGTTTAAACTGAAGCACTAGAGTCCCATCCGCCCTCCAACGTGCCAACTCTTCTGTACAGAGCAGCACAAGCGACAGATAAAAGCACAGAAGGACCCCACGTCCAGCAGCGCCCCTCGCACACCTCTGGAGGGCGAGGCGCACCGCTTACAGCTCCTGCCAGGGAGGGGAGATCGAGACAGGTCTCCCCGGACCGGAGAATTACAAGCTTCGGCAAGGGAGCGAAGCCACAGCGAGAAGCACTCCCTACCGCTTCCTGGGGCGCATCACACTTACCTACATCTGCCATTTATTGTGTGCGTTTGGCTTTTTTAAGTAAAGAGCGCCCAGGGAGACTCTGCCGCCGGCAGGGGTGCTCATCCCCGTGCACAGCAAGGTCCCTGAACAGACCCAAACTTCGCGAGTTATCCCAACTAATACCACACCAGTGAGTGCCCCGTCTCCTCCTCTACATCTGGGGGCTCCTTTCCTAAGTCGCGGGAACCGCCGAGCGGCGCCGGGAGCTGGAGCGCCGAGGACGCTCCGACCGCGGCTGGGGCGGGAGGAGCGCGGAGCGCCCCGAGGCGCTAGCCTTTGTCCGCTCTATCCCATTGTCCCGTGTCTCCTCACGGAGCCTCCGGCGACCGAGGAGCCCCGAGAGCTACCTCTGTCCGAGGGGCTGCCGCGCCGCCGTCCGCCTGTCGCGGCCGCTAACCTCGCCCTGTCCGCTCCTCGGATACTCACCGGCCGCGGCCGTCGGCTCCATGGCCAGCGCGGAGAGGCGCTTCCAGCGGGACCCGCCGCAGGTGAAGATGACGGCGCGGATGAACTCCCTTCCGCACAGCTTCATCCCGTACCCATCGCCCTCGCCCGCAGGGGGCACGGCGGGCGCCGCGCCCCGAGCACGGTGCGGACCCGGTGCCGCGGCGCACAGCAGCGCCGCCACAGCGCACAGCAGCTGCAGCTTGGCCCGCATGGCTCCGCTTCCTGCCCTGCCTGCTCGCTCGCTCAGCGCCAGCTGCCCGCGGCCTCGCGCCTAACAGCTGCCTTCCCCGCGTGCCGAGCGCGCTGCTGCTACCAGCCCGCCTCCCGCCTTTTATAGGCTGAGGGAGGCGCTGAGTCACCGCCCGCCCCCGCTCCCCGCTCCCCGCTCCCGCCGGGCGGGACTTGCGCTCGGAAGCGGCCTGGGGTCGGCCCCCGGCAGGTCCCGTGGCACCGCCGACGCGCTGCGTGCTGCCGCGGCGGAGCTGAGCCTCGCCCGCAGCCTCCCGGCTCGGAGCGGCTCTGTCCGGGACGTGCTTCATCCCCGGCACTCCGGCTCCGTCCCGGGTTTACTCTTCTGTGGTCAAGTACCAGTTGCCGGTGCCCTCCCCAATGGCCCTTAAAATGGGAAAAACTCGTGCTCATCAGTGTTTTCCCTGTGCAGAACCTGCATAACTACTCCTACATCCAGCTTCCTTGAAGCAAAAAGACAGGGCAAGTAAAGTGAAATAAACTCTCTTCCACTGTTTAAGCTGTGGACGGCTGAGGTGGGATTTAAAAGCCTGAATTCCTCTTAGGCTTGTCACTCTCAAGACCCATGCTCAGTGGCACACGTGCTGGGTCGTGGAGCACCATGCCTGTATGTTTTATCAGTAGCCCCCAGCAGGCGCTCACGGACAAGGGTGGCATTCGTCAGTCTCACCAAACAGCTGTGCTGCCTCCCAAAGAATACTTTGGCTGTGTTTCGGTTTGGCTTTGTTTGGTTTTTTTTTCAGCGCAACAGGACAAGAACCGGCTGCTCTCCTCTTTCGTAAACTGTCAGACCGTGAAAACCAGGGAAGTTCATCTACCTAAAAATTCAGTGAAGCTCATGTCTGTACATCCTTCTGCATGAGGGCTGTGCTTTCCATCTCCTGAGTACTGTCAGTGTCTGCCCTCAAAACCCAGTCTAGAGGGAGAGCACAAAGAAGACACGAGTCCACAACCGAGTGATTTGCCTAAGTGGGCAGAGAAGATGTAGACTCGGTTACTTTCTTAAGGAGGACTTGGGTGTTTTACACTGAGCTGAATCTAGAAACAAGCCATGGACGGCTAAGACAGTGAGCAACTTGCAAAGCTGTTTACACTTGGGCTTTCTTTTTGGTCCGGTCTTACATGTTTCAGGCGGTGGTATCACTTCAACAGTAGACAGTGATAGTAACCATCACCCAGGCTGTCAGTAGTCCTCAGAAGTGCATGCTGCTAATCTGAAATTCCTGAAGAACAAAACCTCGATCTGCTTCTCCCTCAGCTGAAGTTTTAACTGGTGCTCTGTTACAGACAAGCTGTTCAGGGTTAACCACAACTTGCATTTTTAATGAGAGCAGCTGCTTGATCTTGGTGTCATGGGCTTTTTCTGAAAACACCCATCACATCAGGTGAACCTACTCATGGACTGCAAGTAGTCTTCTAGGCAAGAGAAGTGGTGCGAGGGCTCCAGTCATGTGTGAGAGCACTACCAGGACTTTCAGGGCAAAGGAAGGTGGTTCCTGAGTCAGGGAGTGACTGACCTGGTGAGTTACCTAGGTTGTAAACTAATATAATTTATTTCGTACTCTCCTTTGGTGCCAATGCCCAATATTGGATCCAGTCTTTGAAAGTAGCAAAATGTTGGATATGTCCTTCTCAGAGTTTTTACCAGAGATTTTAGAGAGGTCCCCAGGTAGCAAGATGATTTGTCAGTCTAGCAGGGAAACTCTTGACTATCCTCATGCTTTAGTTTCAATTTTAACTGGATCACCAGTTACTGTGGCATCACATCTAACTCTCCCTAAGCAAAGACAGACATGATGGCCACCTTTAGGGCATTTTTGTAAGATCCTGATTTTTCAGCTGTTGGAAGCACATAACTTCTGACTACAGCTGCTAAATACAAACTGTTAAGACACTGGAAAAGAAATAGTTCAAACTGTTTTTTCTGGCCTCCCCTTCTTCTTCATCAGGGCTACTGAATGTGGAAGACAAGACTTCCTGTGATGCCCATTATGCTTGTCAGTAGCTGATAGATCACAAGTTGTCAAAGAGGCCTCAGAGGGAATCCCTTCTCAAGACATTTCTCATTCCTCAGGGAAGCCCACAACGCAGCACTCTTCATCACTCTTCTTGCTGAAAAGCATCAGCTATGAATGCTACATTGATATGATTTAAGACTGCAGCAACAGGCAGTGCGTTTATGAGTTTTATTAACGATCATATCTGAATGAGCTGGCAGTAGCTTGACATTGCTTAATGTTACTATGCTTAATGCGGTTTCACTAGTAGGGTGTATTGCTCAGTATTTTTTCTTCAGCTGTATTTTAGTAACACTGCCTTTGCATCTAGGGTTTTCAACTACATCTACTGTGATATGTCATAAAGAAACTATGTCGGTCATATAACTTTAAATCATACAAGGCATTATACAGAAAAGCCTAAGTGTCAATCTCTCGGTAATTTGCAGTGAATTTAAATAAAGCCACAGGCTAGGTTTGTTTACCTGTTCCTCATAGCTGGAAAAAATACTTCTATAAAAAAATGCATGCAGAAGAAAATAATTTAAATACTTTTAAATTATACTTCTAAACAATTTAATTACTTTTAAATAATTCAAAGTAAATGTACACCTTTTACTCTTTGTATTATAAAAACCAGACAACAGCAGAGCAAAGAAATGAAATTTCATTTATCATCTGTAGGATCTTCCAGTATGGTGTGGTGTTTCTCAGGGGTCAGTGTTGGGACTGGCACATTCAACATCTTTGTCGGCGACATGGACAATGGGATCGATGCACCGTCAGCAGGTTTGCCAAAGACACCAAGCTGTGTCGTGTGTTTGACACACTGGACGGAAAGGATGTCATCCAGAGGGACCTGGACAGGCTGGAGAGGTGGGACAGTGCAAACCTCATGAAGTTCAACAAGGCCAAGTGCAAGGTCCTGCACCAGGGTCAGGGCAATCCCATGCACAGCTACAGGCTGGGCAGAGTCTGGATTGAGAATAGCCCTGAAGAGAAGGACTTGGGAGTGTTGATTGATGGGAAGCTCAACATGACCCCACAGTGTGCGCTCACAGCTCAGGAACCAACTGTGTGCTGGGCTGCATCAAGAGGAGCGTGACCAGCAGGTCAAGGGAGGTGATCCTGCCCCTCTGCTCTGCTCTCGTGAGACCCCACCTGCAGTGCTGCATGCAGCTCTGCGGCCCCCAACACAAGAGGGACGTGAACCTGCTTGAGTGATTCTAGAGGAGGCCACAAAGATGATCCCAGGACTGGAGCACCTCTGCTATGGAGACAGGCTGAGAGAATTGGGCTTGTTCAGCCTGGAGAAGGCTCTGGGGAGACCCTGAAGCAGCTTCCAGTGCCTAAAGGGGCCTATGAGAAATGTGAAGAGGGTCTTTTTAAAAGGGCCTGTAGTGACAGCACAAGGCGGAATGGCTTTAAGCTGAAGGATGAGAGATTTAGATTAGATAGGAGGCAGAAATTCTTTACTATGAAGATGGTGAGACACTGGCACAGGTTACCCTGAGAAGCTGTGGCTGCCCCATCCCTGGCAGTGTTCAAGGCCAGGTTGGATGGCGCTTTGAGCAGCCTGGTCTAGTGGAAAGTGTCCCTGCCCATGGCAGGAAGGCTGGAACTAGGTGATAGCTAAGGTCCTTTCCAACCCAAACCATTCTGTGATTCTATGGGTACATCCATAGTACTGTCTCAAGGTAAGTATTTCAAAGTTTTTAGTTTCCTAAAATAAGGCAAGAATGACTGTAAAGATGATTCTCCCCCTTGCACTTAATTTTGCATCTGTTGGCCAATAGCTGTGAAAGTTTATAGAAAGTACAAGATGTTTCATGAAAACAGGTGGCTAAGTAGATACCCTTTAACAGCAACTTGATAGCCTTGAATTCCTTCAATGAAAGGCTTACTCACACGTTAAATGTCAGACAATCTACAAGGAAGATCAGACGTAGAACAGAAATGAACAGACTTGTCTTTTTTTTTCTCAAAGACTTCATTTCAAATTCATGCAATTCACTGCTGCAAGAACGATTTAGTTTTTAAAAGCTTCCCAAACATGAATTTAAAATATTTCTTAAGTTTGTATTGTACCAGACAGGATTCTGCAAGAAATGTGAAATACCATTTCATGTATGCAATTGGTGACCAACTACCAATGTTATCCGACTATCTGCTTCACATGACAATGGATTTTAGGAAGCAATTCAACTTCAGAAAGTTTATAAGTAAAAAAATGAAGAAATCCTAGTATTTTTACATAATAAATTCCAAGACTGGTTAAGCAATTAAATAATAATGCAGAAATAATCTTGTTAGAACTACATGATCCTAAGGTCCTTTCCAACCCTACCCATTGATTCCGTAATGCTATGTCCAGATGAGTGCTTTCCTCTTCTACTTTTAAAAGCAGTGATATTGCAGTCATTAAGTAACTTCAAAACATTTAAGCAGGGTCTGTTAATATCCAGCTTTCCCTATTGTAATTGAATGGTTCAGAAAAATTATATAATTCAGTCAAGGAATGAAGGAAGGACCCAAATTGGATCCCCCCCCTCCCCTCCCCCGCCAAAAGAGACCTTTCTTGTTTCTCAACAATACTCATGTATCCTATCAAAACCAGATTAACAAGAGAGGTGTGGGATGGGCAGCTGTGGTTCACAAGTAGCATGCACTTTCTTGGATTCAGTAAGACATATCCATAACAAGAACACAGAGAGATTAGTTCTGACATCTTCATCATGACTTCTCACTTTCCTGGAAGAGTCCTGCTCTGACTTGACACTGATTCAGGATACATGGCTATCAGATACTACAACCAGAAAACCCAACAGGATTATGGTGGCAAGAGCAGTGCCCTCAGGTCAAAACAAGTTTCCCCTGCAGTTATTCTCCATCTCTTCCCCCATGATTCATAAAAACAAAGACAGTAAGTCTTAGAGCTGAAGCCAGTTAGGCTTCAATGACAGGAGGGAGCCGGCTGTTTTAGGTGTTTTATTATTTCTATTAGTACAATGGCTATGATTGTTACAGGCAATTTGTGTTGTAAACATTG